CAGCTCTGAAATTTTGTCACTTCGTGATCACACAGATGCTGCTGCTTTTGAGATCAGTTGGCTTCAGAAGCAGCCTGCTCTAGTTACTGAAGCGAGATACGTCATCGATTAAAACTTGTGTTTGTTTTCTGAACTGTCTGGAACATTGCTGATGAAATTTCTGTCCTGACAAGTCAGACACTCTGTATTAAAAAAAAAAAAAAAAGACAACTAGTTATTTTTAAAAAGCCATTGTTTTCCTTGGTTTTTGTTTCAGATGCCTGCAGTTCTTCAGCTCAGCCTGGATGCTTTTGATGTGTAGAGAAGGGATAATTCTCTAATTCCTGGGTCATCTTCTGGTCCAGCTTTTTGTTCTATTATAAAACTCCCAAGTCAGTAGATTCAAACTATGTATTAGTTTCTTGTGTGAGTGTTTTTATTCTTGTGACCTTGTCAGTGAGCTGCTGACCCTAAGAGAGTTCTACTGCAGTATCCAACAAGGCTAGATATAAATTCCAAGAATCTTCTGAGGATTTTTAGCAGGATCTTCTTTTTTCCACTGACTGTTTTGCTAACCTCTTTACCTCTGTGCATGGTGAGAGTGATCATGTAAAGTGTATTTGTTTCATTTTACTCACAGAGAGAATGTATGTGAAAGCAGCAAAATTTATGCTCATTTTGTTCAACATTTTCACTCTGGAAGATTCTTTGAAAAAATTAGCCATCAGTTGTTTTTTTGGGTTTTTTTCCGAAAGCTTTTGAATTTTAGCATAGAGAAATTACTTGGACTTAGTAAATGCCTTTTCTTTGCTTCTGAACTTCCATTTTACTGAGTTACAAACGCATTGTTTGCTGTTTCTTGCATAGCTAGTGTGCCTATGGTTGGTGTGTCCAAATATCTCAACACAGACATTTGTAGTGAAGACTGAGTCATATGTCTATCAAAACAACAGCAATAACTTTCAAAAACAGAGCAGTAAACAAACTCTAACTTGGCTATAAATTTATGTTTATTTGATGTTATTTTTCCATATTGTTAAGTCCATGTGGATAGATAGTACTGAGGTAATAAAAGAGCCATTAAACATATTTTTTCACTTAGTCTGCAGCTTGTGATCCCTGCTTAAGGCTGCAAACCTCCTAGTCTTGGATACAAGTTTAACTTTTCTTATACCGTTATGTTTTCAGCTGGAGTGCCCCAGGGCTCCACAATCCAGGTGCTAATGAGAAGCACATAGTCATCAGTTACGGGAGGCAGGGAAGAGCCAGGTTCTCGTAGTTGTGATGACACTTGTTTATTGTCTGATATTACTCCATCATCTGCATATTTAGAAAAGCAGTTTCCACGTAGTTAAAATAGCAAATTACCTCAGCCTTCCACTAGTTATCCAAACCAGTTTTCCAAAACATTGTCCATGGGTGAGGATGCTCTTCAGTGGTTCCATTGGCTTCATAGGAAAAGGTACTAGACAAGGAAGAGAAATGTTAAGCATTCAAGGAGATTTTAGCTCGGGGCTCTTGATGAAAGTCTTCTTTCTTCTCCAATGCTGGACAAAGCTTAGATGATACCTCTTAAAGAACAGCATGTGGGATCCGAGTTTTTCTGTTCAGCCTAGGGTAAACATGACCTGGATAAGTGTGGGAAAGGAGCTTGGAGAGCCAGAGTTGACTCAACAGCTTTAGTGTGTGTAGCAGAGTAAGACTGATTGCTGTCTGTTAGTACCGCAGTGGGATAAATGAGAATGAAGGACTATTTAAGTCAAAAGGGGAAAGAAAACGGTAAAGCACCTGTAAATGTGTCTGTTCTGGATAAGAGGTTTTCCAGAACCTTCCTGTTTCAGTTCTGGGGACAGGGAACCTTTACTTTCCTTATGCTTTGTAAACTAGTGGAAAGAATTTTATAATGTGATACCTGTTGCAGGTGGGGTTTGCAACTGATCGGTCAGAGTGTTCATTCCAGTCTTTTATTTGAGGGATTTATGAATATGTTTTATTACAGCTCACTATGAGAACTTGCATTCTCCCCACTTCACAGAGAGGGGGGAGATGGGATGATGAGACTTGTGTAATGCTCTACGTTAAAACAAAGAAAGTGAGGTCATCCTAGTTCTATTCAGGTGTTGTCACTTGCAGGAAATAGTGCCTCACTAGTAGAGATGTTTGTCATCCAGCAAGAAAATTGCAACTGAAGTACCTGGATAACTTCTGAATGTCTGAATGTTAGACTTTGGGTAGCTTTCGATGAAGAGGAAGAGAACTAGCCCAGAACTAGCCCACCACCAACTGATGTTTCACATGATTTAGAGTAGAGGTACTGGAATTTATTTTACATAACGATTTTTAAATGTATTAAATTTTAGAAGACCAAATCATTGTAGATCATTAGTCTGTTGTAGAAGGTCTAATGAAGTTACTTCCCTCTTAAGACTTTAGATCTAAATTTTTTTACATTAATTGTTCTAATAGCACTTCAGTACTTCTACAAAGTGGCTTGCAAAGCTGTAGAACTATACAACATTCTGCTTTAACATTTCTAAAAAAATAAAATTATTTTTTTATTTGGTTCTTGAATTCCCCCTCCCTGCCATCCGACAGGAGTTTAATGTTTCTGAGCTATGTGGTAAATCATCACGAGGGTGATCTGTAAAACTTCTAGAGGCACTTTGGTAAAACTGTGTTAAAGGCCATCAGTGATGCTGACTAAACATAGTATTATAGTGTAGCATAGTGCTTCTCTTTTCAATATAGTCACAAACCTTTTATATTCATTTAGCTGCAGGTGTCAGTGTAAAAGAGATGCATTTCTGTAAATGCCATTTCCTGGTTCTGTTACAACTGATTGGACTGTTTTGGCAATTGACCAAAGTTTTGGATTTTAAATATGTTTCATGACATTATCAGCCTTCAAATTTAGCATCTTAAAATACATTGTGGTCTTGTATTCCTTATAGATATAAATCACAAAGCACTAATTTATGTTATTCTTTATGGAAATCGGTGGTGCAATGGGAATTGTCTTGAGTATGTTGTGACCAGTGAGATAAAAGATGCTACCTATGGCTTAGAAGGTTTTTGAACTATGAATTATTGAAAGTCAGAAGAGTATTCTGGGGAAATGGTAGTAAAAGTTTGGCTTTTGTGGTTTTGTTTTTTTTTTCTTTTGCTGTTTCCTAGGCATCTGCTACTGGCCACTGTAAAAGTCAGTGTTCTGGGCTAGGTGGACCTTTGGCATGATTTAGTGGAATTAGTCTGTTCTGTGGGAAGAGTTTCCTGGGTATTACCTGAACTTTCCGCTAGTTCATTTGTTACCTTATCTGACTGCTACAACTTTGTGATCATTACAGGCAGCCTGTGCTGGTGTTTAGTTCATGCACACTCACTTCTAGAAACTTTTCAATGAAAATATGTTGAATGAAAGAAACACAAACAGGCGGCAACTGGTTATAATGCTTAGACTAGCTAAGGAGAGAAAGGTTGAGAAACGTGTCTGTTAAGATCTACTCTTTGGGTTTGTTCGTTTTTTAGTATTTTACAGTACTAGTGCTCCAATATGCTGCTCCTCAGGAGAGTCAGGGCTCTGACTTAAATTAGCCATCAAAGAACTCGATTGGGCTTCGCCAATATTGTTGACAAGCATTTAATTAGATTACTGGATTTCAAAAGCAGCACGAGTCCTTTTATACTTCTCTTTAAGGTTTATTTTACATTTTTGTATACTTGTAAACATTGCCGGGTTTGGATATCTCAGTTATTGCACTGTGCACTTGAGTATATATGTATTGCATAATGCTAGGGGATGATGACATTTTGGCAGTACCAGTTTTTGTACCAGTGACCAGTAAGGAGTACTTCAGGTGGCAGTTTGACTCAAACCAAAAATTCCCTCTCCAGAAGGTTTGTTTCTACAATAAATACTACAATATCAGGTGTTATTTGTGCTTCTCTTTCTGTCTGTGACCGTTTTGGGGTTTTTTTAATACTCAGGAGATAGTTTAGCAGAGCTGACAGTGAACTTGATGTACAGTTTATTTAATTTTCCAAACTTAATGTTAAGCTCTGTTCAAATGTAAAGGTTGTAGCTGAGAGGCCAGCTGCTGATTTTGTTCAGTTACTGAACTGCAAAGATTAAAGCTATCTGTTAAGGTAGAGGGAATGGAAGATCAGAGTTCTTGTTCTGCAGAAGCTGGCAGGTTTAGTGTCAGAGCTTATTTAGCTTCTTGCCCACTTATATGCCTTAAATAAAATTAAAAAGTCAAGTCAGCCTGGACTGTCAGGATGCTGCTGATCTACAGCACGAGGGTTCTGGAAACTGTCGTTAGTTCACTAGTTTTGGGCCAGCAGTAACACAGGGTTTTGAGCGAAGTGTAGCTCCCTGTAGGTTTCACTGGTTACAGTGAAGATTAGCTCTTGCTCAAAACCCAGAACACTGCAGTGCAGGATAGTAACAGTGATACCTAAGACTTAATTTTCTTGAACTTCACAGTTGCTTTAAAACTGTTCTTTGTGTAGGCTCTTACATATTTGCATGAGATGGTTTAGCTCAGCCCAAAGCAATTTTTCAAAACTATGTGATCATAAATTGGTAAGATGACAATGAATGGGTACCTTATAACCAGCTTTATCTGTTGCATGTGAATAAATTGCATGAGTAAGAAAAATAGCAGTAAAAGGATTATTGAGCCTAGTAAAACTGAAATTTAATAGCTGGAGGTTTCTTTCCTAAAGAAAAGATTGAAACTGCCATCTGATTGTAAAAAGAGTCTTTACATTTTAGTGACTTGAAGGTACTGAAGTAAGGCAACAAGCTCTATTTCTCTATCTTGTAAATGACCTTATGAGTGATATAAAAGATCTTATATAAACTTAGAATGAAAGCTTATGAAATAATGCAAATATAAGGGTGAAAGAAATTAGTTCTCAATTTTTTGTTTTTTAAAGTACAAAATCTATTACATTTTTTCATGAAGGGAAATAAAGTAAGTTAGGTGGAATATATTTTGTTTGTCTCTTTTGTTTTCAAGGTTTGGCTTGAGCAACAAGTTTGATACAGAATTTCCTTCTGTTCTGACAGGGAAGGTAAGTGTGAGATTAAACTGTTCTTTTAAATGGAAAGACCCAGTGCATCCAGTGGTTTCTGTGTTACCAGTACGTGCTGATGAATCCAGTGCCGTGCAGGCCACCGTGCTGCGCTGGACTTGAATTAACTCTGTCCTGTACAAACTAGCTGGCTGGTGACTGGTCCCTACGGTGGATTTTGATACAAGAAAAAAAGATTTGCAGTGGTTACTATCATCACTGACACTCTAAACACAGAAAATCTCCATGTGGCATCGTGCTGTTTTCATGCAGGCAATTTGCATGAAAGCAAGAGTGGCTTAACCTGGCTTTAGAGATACTGGGAGTTCGTGCTGCCTCCTGTGTGAATTATTTGCAGTGTCAGACCTCTTTTTAATATGTCAGTCAAACCTTGAGTTCCTATGTAGGCAGAGCTCTGGAAAAGAATCTGTTTCATCTGAAGCTTTAGGGAAGAAAACAGTTTACTGTTAAATCTATAAATTATGTAGGTTTTTAGTACATTGTCAGAAATATAATAGTTTAGTTCTGAAAATTAGCGATGACAAGTGTCTTGCTTTCTCTAGAGTCCTGTCATTTTACTAAATACAAATTTAAATATTCATTTGTAGCTCTTGATTCATGAAACCTTGTAACAAAATTCTTGGTTATGGGCTTAAATTCTTGTCATGGTTTTATTTTTTTCAGACTTCTAAATTTTGAATTATTTTTCTCTTGTATTTTTTTTCTTTCTGCTGTTTCACTCTAGTGCATTTCTTTTGCATCGTTTTATGTCTCTTTGTGTATCTTTTCCAGAATTTGTGAGGAAAAAAGTTTATTTGGCTCTTACTGCTTTCTCTGATGTCATATCACAAAGCTACACTACCTCTGCAGCCTCTTGCAGTAGCTGTTGAGTCATTTTAACAATATCCTAAAATGCAGCTGGATGACGTCTCCCGGTTCTGCCAAATCCATCTGGGTTTTTTTTTTTCTTTTGTTTTCACCCCAGAGTATAATGAAAGATCCGTTGTCTGATGTGAGTGCATTTCACTACCTGGCATATCTAAAGTTTATTCTTTTCTGTGAAGCTCTTACTTATCACTGAAAAGCCACAGAATACTTTTTGGAAATAGCGTGTTTTGTGTTCTTTTAGTCCGGCTGTAGTTTGTTGTAGATAAGCCTACAGAAAATACCTAGCAGGAAACGTTAGAACTTAATTTGATTATATAATTTAATCTCTGTCCCTATAAGATACATTTGTATTAAAAAAACCCAACACCTCACAAACTAAACCTCTCCTCCCGAACCTGCATGTTGTTACATGAGCATCAATACCTGTCACATTTTCCACTTGATTGTCCTCTTGTTAGATAGGCAGTGAACAAAAGTTTAATTTAAAGTTCAGTTGAGTGCTTGGACTTCATTTAGCAAAGAGGGGAAAGAGGAAATTTTTCTTGGCGTTTACTCTTCTTGTTCTACAGATCTACTCAGTGACAATGTAAGTCAAGTGAGCGGGGATTTGCTCTGTGTAAGTGTGCTGCTCCTGCTGAGAATCTCGCTATCCTGTTACCCTTTTCTCATATGTGGATCTGAGGGGCGTTCTGAGTAAGAAGACCTTGGAAACAAATTAAGTTCCCTTTTGTGAGGGGAAAACACCAATTGAATGAGATCCATGAAAGACATTAAAAACCACAGTTGTGGGTTTTATCTTTTTAATACTTCCATCAACTGGAAGAAATAAATAATCTGCTTCTTCCTCTGGTTGTGGCAGTCAATCACCTTTACCCTTATTGAAAATGAAAACTCATTTTTTTCCTGGTAAATAATTCACAATAATAAGAATAGTAGTCAACTGATGCACCACTTCAAGGTGTTTTACTGTTCTTAGAAACCAGATTTTTCCTTTTCATGAAATAACAGTTTATGAACAGCATAGTGACTGTTTGTATTAACAATTTGTGATTGTTTACTACGAACTTGCATTAGTACACAGCTAGTACAAGGCAATGTCATACTTTATTCAGGATGTCTGTGTAGCATTAAGTGTAATGTCTACTTTGTTGTCCGCTGTGAATTGATATTAATAATATATTCCAGCTGCTAATGGAATGTAAGAGATGAAGCCATTAGATGGGGTTCTCTATGGTACCATTTTTAATAAATACAGATGAAGATCTAGATTTTTAAATACAATGAAAATGTATCCAGTGCATGATAAAAATCCTAAATAGATAAAAAATACCTAGCTATACCTTTTTCCCAGAAGCACAAACATTTTGGATTTATGCCACTGTGTAGTCTTAAGAATTTACTTAAGCTTCCTGACCCCCAGTTTGCCCATCTGCATAATGATAATAGTAAACCTTTGGCTACTTTTCCTTTTTTAAAAATCTGAAATATCCCTCCTTTTTCACTGATCTCCCCTACTTCCTTGTCTCCCAATTATTACAGAGTCTGGGTTGCTATTGTAAATTAGCCTAGAGCTAAGATGCGTGTAATTACATCTTAAATATTTGAGACATGTGTTGCTTTTTTGGTGGGAGACGTGAATGCTTATATTTGAGGATAAAACATAGACAATAAAACAATAAATAACAGTAGGTCAGATGCTAGGTCTAGTTAATTCAGAGAGATTAACTTAATATTTATTTTGTGGAATGAGACACAAGCTTGTAAACACTGAGCTAGACTTTCAAAAGGTGCATTCTTTTCAAGAGAGTATTTTAAGAGAAGATTTGACAAGATTTTGACAAAGGCAAAATTTAACTTTTAATAATGTAATTGGACTCTGGCCTAAATTTAAATTCTTTGTGCTGCCATTTTATAGGATTATTAATTTTTTTAAGACAAGAATTTAAAAGCTGTTAACAAAATACTCTTGGTGATCTACGGCACAATAGCGCACACTGCTCCAGGTGACAAGAAAATGATGGAGGCAGCAAACCTTAATAAAGAAAGTGGAGTTTCCTGCCCTGATCTTAAAACAATCAGGGTCTGACACAGAGCTGACTGGGCAGTGCAGGGAGACGCAAGCCATAAACTGGGGTGTTCGTATTGTGATCCCGTTGCACCGTGTGATGGATAGGGTTTGGGATCATGGTGATTGAAGGAGAGAGATCAGGCCTGCTGGGCTTTACTTGTTCTCTTCCTGTGTTTGCAGATTCTCTTGCATCCTGTTGTAAAATATTATGACACCCCCTCCTTTCCTTTTATGTTTTGGGTTCTTTTTGCCCTCCCTGAAGGACCTAAAAGGAACTAATGTCTCTTTACAAGGTGTACTGCACAGCCAGGAGCTATGTACTTATCTCATTCTTTTCAAAATGCAGACAGAAACTCTCCAAGAGACTTTCCAAAATTACTCAAAACTAGACTTTCTTAGGGAGCTTTCTTAGCAGGAGGCACTGTTAATTCTCTGTTTCTTTAAATAAATTAGTCATTTCCTGTTAACCTTTCAATATCTGTACATGCAAGAAAGGCAAGATTTAAAATTGGGCCACAAAATGAATTAAATTTTTTGGCAACTCTTCCATTTAGATACCACTTTATTGTGAAATTAGAACAGATATTTACAGATATTTTGTTCTTTGTCACTATGTAATGATGCTTAACTGGTACTGAGTTGTAAACTGAGAGCAACAAAACCGTGTTTTGCTTCTGTTTATCACAGAATAAGGCTTATCTTGGTCACTGGTTCCTTTAGTTTCAAATGAAGATGTATCGTTGGCTGACAGAAATATTGATGGTGATTACATTTCCTAAAGGGAGAAATAAATCCAACAGTTTGGGTTAGCCAAAACCATCTGAAGTAGTTGAATCTTGTGTTGCCTTTGAGGGATTCACCTTTACATGAGAGCATTTGGTGCATCGGCAGGTAGTTGTGGTTCTTTCATAATACTATATTAAGGTTAACATCATACCAAAATTTCTGCAATTGACATTTTCTTGGTGGTATCCAACGTTGATTTCTAGTTCAGCCGCTGCGGGTGCTGTGCTCCGTGGGAAAGAGGATACTTCAGTGTCATTCTCGTAAAGTAACATCGGCCTCTTAACCGGGTGAGAACGGCGACTCCCTTAAAAGGAGCACAGAAATAGGGACTCTCACTACCCCGGTGCTTTCTTACTGGGTCCCACATTTTTCTGCCAGCTGTGATCTGAGAACCTGGTTGACTTCGTGTTGGATGTTACTACTGATGGGAAGGTTTCTTCATGTTACACTGAATTCCAGACTGTGCGATTCCTTTCTGTTTGGTGGGTTTGTACAGCTGTATTGTGGGGTTGGGGTGTATTGTTGTCAAGGTCCAGTAAACTGTGTGTCTAATAGGAAAGGAAGCAATCTCTTTTCTTAGTGGGATTCATTGCAAAAGTACTAAAGGCATCAAGAAAAACACCTACTTACAGCAGACACCTTAGCTTAAAAAAAAGTAAAATGCATTTAAATGTTGATGTTCCAGTCAGTCTAAAGAAATTTTTTTTACTTCCACCTTTTGTATATGTAAAAAGAATTATAAGACAGTTTATTTAATGAGGGGAGAAGCCTGTATAATTGCGAGAGAAGCACTTTCTGTGCCCTTCTTAATTCCTGCTATAAATTAATGACAGTGTTAAATTCTGCACTGCTAACTGTAGGCCTGGCTGGTGTACAGACCCAGCTGACCTCTGACTTTGTACCGCGTAGTGACCTGAATGGCCAGGAAACAGATGCTGTTTATTTACTCCCTTTTCCTGCGAGGTTTGAATAAAATTAGCTCTTGTGAATAGGCGGAGGTAGCAGAAGCAGGTCCTCCCCATTTCCTGTCCCAGAGTTTTGCTCCTTTGGTGAAAGGAGGCTTTGTCATTAAATTCATGCTTTTGTTGTTGTTGCTTTATTTGCAGAACCAAGTGAGCAGAGGTGGGCTTGCTTGCTTGGAAGTATCAGGTAGTAGTTGCACAGCTTTGTGTACAATCTAATTCTAGTTTTGTGGATTTTTGCCCTAGAAGTGGCAAGTAGTTAGGAAAGATTCTTTAATTTATTTTTTTTTTAGTTGTGCCCGATTGGTCAAGTCTGTTGAAGTTGAATCTGATTACTTCACTTTGTGTGTTTGAGTGCTGGATTGTGTTAAAAGTGCCATCTTGGGGTCGGTACCACAAATCCGTACTTGACGTGTCAGATATAAGTTGTTTAGATTCTGTAGAGCCATGAGGGATGTGGGGTATGTAAATAGGTAAGTGCTCTCACTCCTCTGTAAGAAACATGCTGCTATCCAAGAAAAGAGTGTATTTCTGATAAAAACTGTGGGTTTTCACTGTGACTCTACAGTGGCAATATATATATATATAAGTAAGCTCTGTTGAATATTCCTTAATTTAAATAAGTTGTCTTTCAACAACCAGGCTTTACTCATAACCCTATATAAAATACATTTCTTTGCCTTGAGTATAATTCAGTAAATGTCTTTCCAGGCTTCCCTATTTTAGGAAGCAGCCACAAGTGAAGTTGGGGCCTCATCATTATGGACCACTTTAGGAACTTAATTGTGGACAGAGGTCCACCTTCACCCAGGCACAGTGTAGACTTGCATCAGCATGAAATTAATTTGACCAATATTATCTTTCTTTTTTTCTTTAGTGTGATGTGGTTTGGTTGTTTTTTTTTTTCTACGAAGCTGCACCACATTCCCTTGGAAACCAGTTATATGTCATTCTTCCCTTTTTTTGGTCAGCGTAGCAAGTCCATATGTTGCACAGCTGTGTCCTGCTTCTAGTTTTTGTTTGGGGACAATTGGTTTGGTAACGGTGCAATAAATAAGGATGAGGCTGTTCATCTGAGCGATGTTTAGCTTTTTAATGCAAGCTTTTGCAAAGCATGCAGCGTAAATGGATTTGGTAGAGGAAAGCAACTTTTCATGCTCGCTGTGTGAGAGACGTTACAGAAAATAGGGCGATATTGTACAATGGTATTGTGTTTCGTTTGCACTTTAATCTGTAGAGGCAAATTATTGAGAAATTACACCTGTGATGGCTTTCCACTGACGTTCAGCACTTCTGTTGCAGGTTGCTCCAGAAGAATTCAAGACCAGCATCAGTCGGGTGAACGCCTGTTTAAGAAAGAACCTCCCTGTCAACGTCAAGTGGCTGCTGTGCGGCTGTCTGTGCTGCTGCTGCACGCTGGGCTGTAGCCTCTGGCCTGTCGTCTGTCTTAACAAAAGAGTAAGTACACATGCCCTAGTCTTACTCTGTTTATTTTGCAATTACTGATCGCAGGAGCTAAAGTTTAATAGTGTCATCCCCACTTCAGAACCTTTTTGTCTCATTTGCACTCAAAAGGTTGTTTCATTTTCAGTTCCTTAGAAAGCAGAAAAATATGTGAATGATGCCAAATGACCAACTGAATTAATAGTTTAGGAATAGCTAATCCCATCTCAGTTTGAAGAACAGAGTGGAGTAAAAGTAAATTTCCAGGATTTCTAAAGGTCTAAGAATTAAATGAGTGCAGAACTGGACGCCGACCTTCAAAGACTGCATGGATTGGACTGAAAGTTACTTTTCCTCTTCACACACCCCACACACCTCAAAATAAACATTTTTTTAAAATTAAAAATCATTTTTTTTCTATGCAATAGATAATGTATTTCAGAGCTTTGTTTTTTTGACATATTTTACTGTGCTGTTTCTGTTAAGAACAAACACAAATTTGTTTTCTGTTTGGGAGTTTTTTTAAAGACTTTATTTTCATCAGAAAGTTGACAACTCGTGTAGTCAGGTCCAAAGTAATTCTGAAAAGCACTTTAGCAATATCAAGTAAATATGATCCTAATTACATCTGTGGTTTGCATTTAGAATTGATTTATCACAGCAGTAAATGTTCAGGCAGCACGTAAATAGAGTGTAATGATATTCTCTGCAGGTACATAGTTTGTAAAATTTGCAGTCATAAAATCTTATTATCCACAAATGTAAGTAGTACGTAGGTGCACTAGAAAAAAAACCAACAAACAAAACAAAACCTCTCACACTTGTCAGTTTAATTATAGGAAAAGATTCTAAGTCAAAATCTGCTAAAAAGTGGTACTTCTGGCTTTGAGAGTATATGATCTTTTCTAAAACAAACTGAAAGGAAAACCAAGGAAGAAGCATTGCTTTTTGGAGAAAATAAACCAGAAGTGTTGTGCCAAACTTTCCAATTTGCTCAAGAAAAGCAGTTGCGTTGACTGACACTGAGTTTTTAGTTAAAAAAAGTTAGATGCACTAAAGGCATAATAGGTTAACTTGCTGAAGTGCTAAAAAGTTACAGGACTTGCTTTAACTCATTTTCACTGTCTTTATAAATGCTCTTGTTGCAGAGGAATATGTTTAACATACACAGGTTCTAATTCTATAAAAACAACGTATTTAAAATTAATCTTAAGCCAGAAGTGCAATAGTAAGATTCTTCTGGATGAGGCTGCTGCTGAAACATTTATAATAACGTTTTTA